AATAATATAATATATAGTCTAATATATTATATTAGACTATAATATATTCCAAACTTGTCTCCCCATCGTGTCTTTGTATATATGTAATCCTCATAATAACCATCTGTTGGAGGAATTAAGAAATTTACTCAAAACTACCCAGCTCATAAGAGGTAGAACCAACCTGTATATTCAAATCTATAACTTAATTTAAAAATCTATGTTCAAACTACAGTCTGCTGAAAATACAAAAATGCTAAAGGGAAATAACAGTCTCATCTCCATATTGTTTTAAAGCTAGCTCCAGAAAAGACTCTAATAAGTACTTGTTTAATAAATGCTTACAAAAAATGTGATCTCTTTTTATTCAGCCACTTTACTTTTAGGGATTCACCATATAGAAACAGAAATATAAGAGATTAAAAGCATTTACAGGCCAGGTGCAGTGGCTCACACCTCTAATCCTAGCACTTTGGGAGGATGAGATGGGCAGATTGCTTGAACAGGAGTTCAAGTTCAGTCTGGGCAACATGGAAAAACCTCATTTCTACAAAAAATTTTAAAATTAACCAGGTGTAGTGATGTGTGCCTGTAGTTGCAGCTACTTGGGAGACTTAGGTAGGAGGCTGAAGTGGGAGGATCACTTGAGCCTGGGAGGTCATGGCTGCAGTGAGCCATGATTGCACCACTGTCCTCCAGCCTGGGCGATAGAGTGAGACCCTGTCTCAAAGAAAAATAAAAGTATTTACAACTTAAATTTTATTTAAACATGTTGAAGTATATTTAATAAACCTAAGTGTTTTTTTCAGAAAAAGCATTTATAAGTATTTTTATATAGTTATATATTTATAAATTTTACAATGAGAGAAAAATTAGAACTAATTTGCTGTTTTATAATCAGAGAAAAACTAGAACTAATTTGAATAAAACTGATTGAAGCATGGAAGAGCCATAAAACAAAATACTATCAATAGTTCCAGATAGAAATAGATATCACAAGTATAACTAAGTAGAAGAAAAAGGTTCAAAACACTATATACAATCTGATCCTATCTGCTTTAGTATATGCATGTGAAAAGCTAAATGAATATACAACAAACTGTTTTTAAAAAGGAAAAGTCATCTATTTTGAAAAAGCAATATAGAGCAACTTTTATTATATAACATATTTCTAATTTCTTCCTATATAATTACCTCAACATCTTTTTAGGAACCTAGGCTCTCTGCCAGTCCTCCTAAAAGTCCTTAAAATTCAGTCAGTCTCACTTTCTCTTTCTCTTCTCTGTCAAGTCTGACACTTTACAAACTCTGAATCTTTTATTTCTTACCTGTGTTCCTATTTAAATCAGATTTTCTGACTTCACATTTTTCTTTAAACTATATTTCTGATCTGACTTTTTTAAAAAATTTTGACCAAACCTGCGTCATATTTTCCCTTATAATCATGTCTTTTATTTCGGATTTCTCTTCATATTCTCTGCTGCCCAACCACCTGAGAAACTATTGTCCTATTTCTCTTTTATCCTTGATGGCCAACCTTCTCCTCCACACTAGTAATTCCTAAGTATACAACAGCAGGTGCTTGACAGGCAGAAGTGGGTTTGGGTATGCATGCACCCCAGATGTGTGGCACAGTGTGTAACCCACTCTAAGTATTCAACAAGCAATTTCTTAATGGGTCTTTCATTTTTTCTACTTTTTTTTTTTTTTTTTTTTTTGACACGGAGTCTCGTTCTGTCGCCCAGGCTGGAGTGCAAGGGCAAGATCTTGGCTCAAGGCAACCTCCGCCTCCCGGTCTCAAGCAATTCTCCTGCCTTAGCCTCCCAAGCAGCTGGGATTACAGGTATGTGCCACATGCAGCTAATTTTTATATTTTTAGTAGAGACGTGGTTTCACCATGTTGGTCAGGCTGGTCTTGAACTCCTGACCTCAGGTAATCCACCCACCTCAGCCTCCCAAAGTGCTGGGATTACAGGCATGAGCCACCACGCCCAGCACTTTTTCTACTTTTTTTAACCAGCTTCTCAAACTCACAAAATTTAATCCCACTAACTCACAATCATGTCTTCATGATATGGAATAGAGTAGGGAAGTTGGAGGTGAAGAAACCAAGTGAATGGCTGAAGGAGGGAATGTATGTAAACAGGAAAAGCAGAGCAAAGGCTAAATAATGAATAGTAGAAAGGGAGCCCATAGAGTCCAAGAACACTGATTTAACTTCTCTACCTATCCACCCACTTCACAAGGTTATTGTAAGATCAAATTAGATCATGACTATAAAAGTCCTTTGTTAAAAAAGTATGCCTCAAATATAAGGATAATATATAAAATGTCCAGGATATATCTTAAATTATAAGGTTCAATCTATTCTAGAGCTGGAAAAAATCCTTGGGACAAAATCAAGACCTTAGCAGGATACACAACTTGGCAAATGTCATTCAGGTACTTAGTCTGCAAATAAGATCTGGATTCCTGTGCTACAGACTTTTCTTCAAGTAGACATTTCACTATACTAAGTACCTATGGACATTATCACACCTTTAAACAATTTTCACATATTTTAAATCATTGATTATTGATTTTTTAAATAAATGCTCTGACACCTAGCTTTCATTTATCATTGGCATTTTTGCACCAAAAAGGCATAATCAAGTATGTGGGGCCTGGTGGGAGGGGAATAAAAAAGATTTTTATTTTACGTCGGTTGAACAATCATAATCATGAACTAAAATTACTTAATGCATAACACTTTATGCATTACATAAACATAATGAAGTCATGGTTCTCTGTGACCCAATATTTCCAACTATCACTAGATATATCCATTAATTGACCCAGTCTGGTTAGCAGTTCTTCTGTTTGTTCTTTTAATTACAGAAGTAATAAGACTCAGTGAAACAAATTAAATACAGAAGTATACACAAAAGAGTCTGCATGTCTTACTCCATATCTATCACATACAGACACATAGAATTTTTCCTTTGTATATGTGTTATTTGCCACCACTGTAAGAAATGAGATCAGTCATGTTGCATCCTACAACTTGCTTTTGCACCTAACACAGATATGTCTCTGTGTCATATCTGCACATCTAGCCCATTCTTAAGAATGTTCCATAATTTCTTCTGCCATTTTCTAACTAATGGTCATCCAAGTTGTGCCCAGTTCAATTTTTACAAATATGTTACAAGTATATACTTGTTTATATAGCCTAAAGTACCAAGGCTTTTATTTATTTTTGATAGATTTCTAAAAAGTATCAGCCTATTTAAGTCAGCTGTAGCAATTCACACTTCCACCAACAATGTGGGAGCCCAAAGCCTTACAATTTGGCCTACCCTCTCATTCCTTTCATTTCTGCCAATCTATGTAAAATAAGTGATATATTCGTATTTTGTTTGTATTTTTGTATCTTTACTTTTAGTCATATTCATTTCTTCTTCTGAAACTTGCCATTTTTCTACTGGGTTGTCTCTTTTAAAATCAATTTTAAGTACTGGTTATCTGTTAATGGTTAAGGGCATAGAAGTCAGGAAAGTTAATCAAGTTTGTTCAGTTCAATATCCTCACAAAAAATTACCTGACATGTACTATACATATTTAATATGTACTGATGATTAAATATAGAATATTAAACCTTTTTCTTAAAAGTTAAGAATGTTTTCTCTTAGCCTATCAATTTCTTTACAAAGTCTCTAGCTATACAATGATTTTGTTGTAGATGTTGATATTTTTATAAGGAAATAAATATCTATTTTCGTTATCACGTCAGGGTTTATTCTCTTAAGAAAGCTTCCTTATCCTGAGGTATTAAAATACTTATCAAAATTTTCTTTTAATATTTTAGATGGTATCTGTTTTAATATTTAAAGCTTTAACTGAATTTTTTATGGTGGGAGGGGGGAGATCTCTATTTTTTTCTGGATGGAGAGTTGTAGCTGTCTTAGTCCATTCTTGCATTGCTATAAAGAAATACCTGAGACTGGGTAATTTATAAAGAATAAGGTTTAATTGGCTCACAGTTCTGCAGACTATACAAAAAACATGGTGCCAGCATCTGCTCAGGTTCTGGTGAGGACTTGGGAAGCTTCTATTCAAGGCAAAAGGTGAAGCGGAAGCAGGCAGAAGGAGGCATGTGACACAGCAAGAAGGGGAGCAAGAGAGCAAGGGAAGAGGTGCCACACTTTTAAACAATCAGATCTCACATGAACTCAGAGTGAAAACTCACTCATTATCATGAGGACAGCAACAGGCCATTCATGAGGAATCTGCCCCAACGACCCAAACACCTCCCACTAGGTCCCATCTCCAACATTGTGAATTAAATTTCAACATGAGATTTTGAGGGACAAACATCCAAACCATATCAAGAGGAATTATGCCACGCTTTTTTATACGAACAGAAATACTATTAATACTTACATATCACCCATCTTCATTGTTCCTATCCCACTGAGCGACTATCTGTTCCTGTGTAATACTATACAGTTGTCATTACAGTCA